TGTACTAATATGCAAGATTCTTCTCTCTTTCTACAGGGGAGTTCGGATTCAGCCAATAGTCTCTTACTCTTTCCTTTTAAATAGAGCTGAAACACAGATAAAAATAGATACACAAGGCTGAAATTAGTATTGAAACGAGCAGCGTTAGGTATCGAAGTCAGTAGAACAAATCTAGGTCTTCCTGCAAACGGTCATTTCCCTCCAGGATATTCTTCCCCTGCCCCATAACCTCACTGTACTTATCTAGTTTAATTTGTTCTTTATTGAGCTGATAACTGCAGTAAGTCTTGGTTTATAGCTTTACAGATTTGCTAGAATCAAAGAATGATAAAAAGGCTATGCACACAAAAGTTAAATAGCATTTGTTACTGTTGTATCCCATAGAATTACACAGACATGATACTTTAAAAAGGGTGTCTGACTATTTAAGCACCTTAACACTGAAGTGTACACTTCCTGTGGTATTTAATAACACTTAAGCTCCCAGCAGCTGATTACAAATTGAAAGAGATGTTTTATACAGTATACAGAATCATTAGCTAAGTTCAACTCAGTTTTAACTGTGAATCTGACAACAGCATGCTTCACAAGCAGGAAAAAAACCTCAGAACTAATGAGCAAGATGGCCAGAGTGATAAAAAAAAAATTGGATTGCCATATAAGACACGCTATTTCTTAATACTAACTACAGAAACCAGTGGATTAAAAGCAAGAGGATGTTCCAGACCTGATACCAGAATGTCATTGGGTCAATATGCCCTTTTTCCTGGGTCAGTGTACCTCTGGATTTAGCTCACAGACCATGGATTTAATGAGATATTTTGTAAGTGACCTTGTATACCAGTAATACAATATAATTTATGTCATTACACTTATTTATTTTAAGCCTGGGCAGTCCTGTCTGGGCTGTTACTAAGAGAGTTTCTGATGATCCCAGCCTACAGCAGACCACAAAAGGCCTCATGAAAACTAACAAAGTATTTCAAACTTATTAAAAAACAAAATAGAAAAAATACAAGGACTGTTCTGAGGTGGGTGAATGCAATTTTCTTTTCATGCATTGCCCATAACAGAGCTAGTTAAATTATTTCTTTCAATTAAGAAACCACATGAAAATAAAGTTCACCCCTGATTTTGCAAATACCTTTCTCTTTTTTTTTTTTAGAAAAAAACCAGAATTCTTCACAGCAGCCTTCTCCCATCTGCCTGACTGAAATTTCTGCAGAAAAAATTAGTAGCAATCAGAAGCTTCCAACATCGGATGTCAGTGCTAACATTTTTGGCTATCGGTTCTATTGGTGGTGCAAGTAATACGTGGGCAGTCTGTTTGAATGGGCTGTTCACAACTATGATCTTAGAGCATGGCTACCAGAGATTCATTCCACATTCATGAAGACTATATTATCCAGTGTTGCAATAATAAAAAGAAAGTCTCTGGTCATATTGGCTGCTTGGAACAGGATTCTCTTAAGAGTTTTCATTTCCACTTAATATCATGATGGTATCTAAACTACACAAATAAAAACACATTTCCTCTCACCCTGGCAATTATTCATGCTTCTTCTCCCTGTGGCTAAAAAGCAGAATGAAAGGGAATTTTTCAGATGGGCTTTTCTGAAACTTTCTGAAACAAAAGACTTTGTGGTCACTCACAGAAGATTTAATCATCCTTGCCACCTTTGTCACTACATGGTTAACTATGAGGGTCAGGAAAATACAGTCAACTGGCAGCCCACATGAAACAACATTAAATTAATGGCTCCTCCTAGTTAAAAGCCTGAATTCTGTATTCACTGAAGTCAATGACAGAGCTCTTATGCAACCCAGGGTAAAAGGACTGGGCCTCTAATGTCTAGGTTGCAGTAGTTCTCCTTTAACTTGCCCCAAAACGTCAAAGTTTCAAATAGTTTTTGGAATAGTGCAGATCATAACTCTATATTGCACATTTCTGTGAGATTTGGAGCCAGACATCTGACTCTGGACAGTTTCAACTTACATTTATTACCACTATGGTTACTAAAGTACACAACCAACTAGACTTGCTCAGAAGAAATCCTCTTGAAGGGAGGTCAGCACTATTTTTGTCCTTCCCACTCAGACAAGCACTTTGAACAGTAGGGGAGTCTCCTACCATAGCAGACAGTAGTGTGGAAGAAAACAGATGTTATACTGATAGAACAAGCACGCCATTCAATGGTTAATGAAGATAGTTAGTCAGGACACTGGGCAAATGGGTGGAAAAGCAAGGACAGAAATCACCTTCCACGAGGCTTGTAAAAACTCAGTCCCTTTTATAAAAAATCTGTTGTACAAACAGATTCACTCTGGCAGTGGGAGAGGGCAGAAGAATTAAACTATTGCTATATTCCTTCGTTCAATAAGTGTTCCACCTGTTTTCCCCTGCATGTGCTGTCCTCCAGAGGATTTATGTGCTTGAAAACAGATGAGGATGCACTATCCATGTATATTATATTCCCATCTAACACGCCTCGTATTGTGAAACCATGCTGAGTTTGAATTTAAGCAACAATAAGGCAGTTCCAAGTCAACAGATTTTCTGCTGTTCTTGCAAACATCTTTCGGTGAGGTAGTAGGAAAGGAAAGAAAATACTCTCCATCCCTATCACGGTAAATGGATCTACAAATAAGCTTTGTGGAATCATGCTTCAGCTGGTACCTTAATCTTACTAATCAAAAAGTTTTAAACTTTTATTTGGTAAAACCTTTTAATCTTCTCTGTGGATTCAAATATACTCATGTCACCAAATTAAAAAATAATAGAGGAATATAAACCACTTACTGTTTTAAGATTACTGGAATTAGGTAAGTTAGCAAACAAATTAACTGGTGCAGCTTCACTGAAGCAGAAATAGCTCATGGAATATATTATATTTTAAGAAATAGTAAGGCTTGTGAAAGAGTACTTCTCATATAAAGGGTTAAAAGATCAATCAGCTATTAGTGAAAACCCATTTGTATTTAATCACATACATATTGTTACAACAAAAAAACCTGATCCCACAGTCCAAACGGAGCAATGGAAATCTTATGATTGGCTTCACTGAGCTTCAAATCAGGGCACTAATTGTGAAGAGGATAAACCAGCAGAAACACATTCCAAATTATGTTTCAATATATTAGTAGAAATAAGAAGCAGAATCAAGCCAATTATACTATGGGGAAGGTAAAGTAATGTAAATTGATACCTTCAGCCTCAGAGTGACTAATCAATATGATGGGTATTACAAATGCTACCAAGATAAACACTTTCTGCAGTAACACTGGAGTTAGTTTTCTACTTTTATTCATAATTATTAGTTCTGAAAGCTTGTGCTAGAAATCTTGAAACTCTGCTGTGAATGACTTGAAAGACTTGCTGTCTTTGTTTATTTAAAGTAAATTTAGCCTCTTGAAAGATACCTCCTCGACAAAACTGAGGATTAAGTTCTCAGTAAATCCTGTATTTGAGCAAGCGACTTGACACTGAAGCTATTGAATGAACTAATGTTACTAATGGCAAAGTTTTGTAGTCTCATTTACAAAACAATCCCGGTTCATTTCAAAAAGAAACCGTGGTAGTCTGGTAAAGTTCCAAACAACTAGTGTCTTAAGGTATAATGATAAATTCAGTTCAGTTTTTCAAATCCAATTTCAATTACAAGCTATAAAACAATTAAAACAAATATGGTGATGGTTTTATATTGATAGAGTTGTTGCTTTTTGGCTTGGCCCTCAGCAATAGGCAACATTTAGGTAAAACACAAAATGTATCCATCATAAATATAATTTTGCTTTATACATGATTTTCTGCCCTGAAGAACACAAGTGACTACTAACACCACAAAATTTAAAAATTCTTGGAAAGAATATTTAAAGATTATAATTTGTTGTTATGCTTAAGCTGAGTTTTTTATGGCTTTATAAAATCTTTGAAGACAAACAACATAACTTCTTAAAAACCAAACTGAATACATGAAGAAATGTATAGATCAAATGAATAGACTTAGTATATTAATAACAATTCAGTATCTAGTTATTAAAAAACAGCTACTAAAGCTTACTCCTAAAGTGCAGCCACATGTATGAAGAACACTAATCATAGTGTTGAATAATTTTATGGAGAGTTTCTCACACCTGTGAATCTCCAAACATCCACCGTTTACATCAAATGTAAACAGCAGCAGCTTTTCACTGCTTTTATTTTAAGATGCCAATTGTTGTATTCTATTTTTTTGAAAGCAGGAAAGCAGTTTCTGTAATTTATGACCATATTTTAACAAGCAGAGTTAGTGTTGATAATATGTGACAGCTACTCAGATTTTTTATCTAAAGCAGTGGTAATAATTATTTAACCAGTTGTGCTGGACCTATTTAGCTATGGCATCAGTCAAGGAGACTTTGTTTCAGAAATATAACAGGCCAATATTATCATATGTGGATTTTAGAATATGTTAGGCTACTCAAATTCCTTGAAAAATTCAGAAAGGAAGAGGTGAGGGTTTTTGTGAAGAAGTGTAATTTTTATATGAAGAAGGTAAAAATGAAAAAAACCACTGCAAACATGTAGAAACAAATAATTTTGATCTATAAATTTACATGCAAATCCTCCTGCAAATCAACTCAGAACAGTTCACAAAATACAGTACTAAAAGCGTGTATCCTGTCACAACTTGCTGATGTGTTTAACCGTGTATATTACACAGTGAAGTCAAAGCGAGTGCGGAGAGGGCCCAAAGTAAAGCATATACATCAGTCTTTGTAGAATCAAGATCACAAGTAATAAATTCATAAGTATTGATGTTACTAAAGTGGAAAAAAGTGTGAGTGAGTTTTCTGGTTCTTTCCAAAAGTTTCTTCGATAGTCTTCCATAAAATGTGTATATGTGTGTATATATATATGTAGATATATGTACACAATTTTCAACTTTTTAATCTCTCACGAGAATAAGTCACCTTAGAAATATAACGTGAAGTCTAAATACAATATTTTTGCTACTCACCTGTCTGTTACGTTCATCCATAATCCTTGTAATCTGAATCTTTTTTCTCCCCATAGTCCCCGTTTTTTTTCCTCTCCTTCTTCCTTAAAATTATGTATTTTTCCCTTCTCTTTTCTTCCTCTTTCCCGTTTCCTCAAAACAAACCTCCTTCTTCAGCACTTGCACTACTCAGTTCACAGTCCCCTGCATCCGTTCCTGCTAAACACAGAAAGGAAATCCAGAGTTATTACAAAATTGATAACGAGATGAAAGTTATTATACGGAGCTGACAAGGATCCTAATTATAATTTAGTGTACAAGTAAATACTTACTGCATCTATAAAATAAATAATGCATAGACAAATAATAATTTGATTCAAAGGCTTCTTTTTATGAACAAACCCGTGAATACATCAAGAAATCAAGAAAACAACTGAAATACGCACTGTCAAAACTTTAATGGAATTAGGTATCTCTAGTTTTAAATATCACTCACTGCTCTAATATGAAAAATTACCTAAATCAGAGAGTTAATGAACCTTTCTGTACCTATGTATGCTAAGTAGGCCAGCTAATTCATTTCTGAACGGAAAACAATCTTGTGTTTTGACAGCAGAGGTGATAATGTCCCTCATTATGCAAATAGGATGGACCTTTATTGAAGTGTTCTTTGATATATGAGAGATGTCAGCTACTTTAAATCCAAAATTTTTAACCTTAGGCTTTAAGAATATAGATCGGTGCAAGTATTACTCAAGATACTTGAAGCAAACAGGAGTGCATTTTCCCTCATTTCGTTTCAATGTAAATTCTAAAGCGTTCTGATGAACAATTTAGAACTAGCAAACACATACATATATCCTTATAAAAATTCTTGCACCAAAAGCCAGGCTATATAGCACAGAATAATAGGGTTAGATGACAGTGCAAGAATGTTTTGAAAAATATTTTCACTGTTTCAGTAATGGACTGATAATAGCCCCCTCAACTTCATGATACTGGTTCTTTGCAAAACTACGGGCAGTTAGATGCCATATATAAAAAAACATAACGCAGTACACATTCCACATAGGGTCATAAATCACAAAATTAATTTCTATCATATGTAAAACATTTTTAGCAATGAAAGACTTGAGAATGTAAGAAAATATAGTAATATGTTCGGTCTCATAGTAAAGTACAGATGCAATTTTTCCACCCTTTTAACCTTCATTTACTGTATTTTTATATTTACATTTTGAACATAAGAGCATAGAGTTCTTTTAAATACAGAAGAGAAAAAAAAAATCTGAGCAAGACACTTTTGAAATTATTTTAAAAAAATTTTATGTTAGTTCCATAGGGTATTAAAATATATTGCCCTGAAAATAAAAAATTAGTAATTTTAAAAGGGAGGCTGGTGTTTCCTTATTTATTTTAAGCCTGAAGTCTTGCAGCCAACCTGATAAATTCTCACAATATGTTACGTAACACTAAGCTGATGTCCTGGCCATTTTATCCATTATTTGGCTCTGATTCAAAGCTACTGAGGTAGAAAAGCTAGACCTTGCTCGTTCTGATCTTCAACTCTCTCTTGATTTTCTTTGCATACATTAAACTTTAAGCTGGTCAAGTGTTTTATCACTCTAAGAAAAACATGTTAACAAATAAGCAGTCAGCCTGAGCTAACTAGCCACTATGACATAATTAATCTGCTGGGCAAAACAAATTTCCAAGTGTAATACTTATTACCTTTCTGTACATGAAAGCCTTTTTATATTATTTTCTAGGCCTATTTACATGCGCCTAACTCATAACCGTAATGCAGAACATGAACAATTAATTGTGCCAATATAACAAAGTGTAAAGGCTGCAAAAATTTTTGCTGCTTTTTACTTATTTGAAAACAGTTCACATTCTCAGTGCTTAAAAAGACACAAAGGTGCTTGATCTACAAATACAACAAAAATTAAGAGTCCAAAACTTTGAAATAAAGTAGGTTGATTAAAAGTTTTTATAAAACTTTTTCCCAAACAAAGTTAGGAGACAGTCTTATCTGATATTCAGTGTTGACAAACCAACGAAGTCTATTTTTAGAAACAGTTTTAAATTTCCTCAGACTGGGTTTCTTTCCTGTTTTTCCTATAGTCTTACCTCCGATACAAAGAGCAAGTTAGAATGGTGTTTCCCATGAACATGCAGGACCCAAAGGAGTCTAACAGGCTTTCTCTGTAACGGTAAGCCAATACGCTAATCCACAGCAAATGCATATGGAACAATTTCCCTTCCTTCCATTCAGCTGAAGCCAGTGGCACTATCGGCTTACAGCACTACGCCTGCCTAAGCTCTCGTTCACTTCAAGGTGGAAGGTCAGGGTGGACAGATTAGAGCAGTGGTGACAGGTTAGCAAGGATGAGAGCTGCTCTGCAGATCAAGATGCTGATGAGTTCAGAAAAATCACCAAATACTGAGAAGATCTACCAGGAAGGACAAAAATCTTAGTGGAGGAGCAATATGTTGAGGCCCTCCCACACACTTATCAGTTCCACATTTTAAGACTAGTCTTCAAACAACAAAAGCTTTTACAGGCAGTTTAAAGTCAAAACACTTAAAATTCTTATGGTCTACACAAAATTATCTTATTCACACAACACTTGATGAGCAGAATTTGTTCTTCATTACCTCTAGTAACCCACTAACTACACTAGTTTTAAGTGCAAAAACAGATGTGCAGCAAAATGAAGTTGAAAGGGAGCAAGGGTGATTTGGTTATTATTATCATACAACCTGAGGGATCCTGAAGAAGAAGACAGAATGTGTTAGGTCATATGTATCCAACAGACAATTTGCAAAGAAACATAACTTTTTTCAATGGGCAGCAGGCTAAATTTTCATGGAATCATAAAATTATGAAATGGTTTGCATTGGAAGGGGCCTTTAAAGGCCATTTACTCCAAACCCCCTGCAGTGATCAGGGACATCTTCAACCAGATCAAGTTGCTCATCCAATCTGACCTTGAATATTTCCAGGGATGGGGCATCTACCACCTCTCCAGGCAACTTGTGCCAGTGCCTCACCCACCCTCACTGTAAAAAAATTCTTCTTTGTGTCTAGTCTGAATCTACTCTCTTTTAGTTTAAAACCATTACCCCTTGTCCCATCACAAAAACATCTCCCTCATATTTGCTTTTTGCTTACTAGTCTGATTTCAAATAAAAGCTTTTCAGTTTTTCTAGCAAATTTATTTCCTTTTAAAAAATTGTTTCTTTTGTTATTTTTACTCCTACCAGAAACAACCTGGGAATACTGTGGCATTCTTTGTATCTGCCTTACTCTTTTACCCCTACATACATATCAACACATACTGCTTATATTAATTTCATTAGTATATACTTTTGCACATATACATGTATATAATGCAGATAGCTCGACTAATTCCAAATCCATTAGATTCAGACAAGTATATCAGGACATCTGATTCAAGGGTGATAACCTTCAAAGGCTGGTGACTTCTGAGTCAAACAGAATGTAAAGAACCCTGGAGACCAACAAATCCCCATGGTGCTTTAGGAGTTCACCAATGTTCTCAATACTTTTTGGAAGTTCTTGCAGGATGAAGGATTAGCGTATTACTTAAAGCTTCTGTTAACTGATAAATTGTATGTCCGTAACACTAATAAAGCACACTAGCTTGAATAGTTGAAGGTACTACAAAACTTACATAGTACTGCAGGCTTTCATTACCCAAGAGAATCTAAAAATGAACTTAAAAGAATTCCAGAAGCTCTCTTGAAGTAACTCTCCACATAAAAGAAACCTTCCAACTTAATGACATGGTTACATGCAAACAAATTGTACTTAAAAGAAACACATAGTTACATTCCATGGTGTCACAGTCTTCAGCACTTTTTCTTTTTGCAAACCCAAACATAAGAAAAAAAAAAGTTAGACTGCTTACAAAAAGAGGAACTTCATTTTTGGCGGGCTTCTGTTCACTATATGATTTGGCAGATGCAGTGGTAGCTGACAGAAGATTGATCTGAGCCTTGAGATGGGAAAAGAGCTAATGGACAAACACAGCAGATACTTGACCGCTCCTGTCTCCCTTTCGTACATTCACACACAAACACATGCATGAGAGCGCACACACACACACACACACACACACTATCCCTTCTCTGCAACACAGAAGAATCTTGATAGAATGGCAGGAAACACGCACAGAGTGGTCAGGGAAGGATATGATGTCAGCAACCACGAACAATAAAAGGTGTAAAGGTGCTTCCTTCCCTAAACTGTTCCAGAAGTGCAAAATGGGAACCAAAACTCTCCACTTCCTTCTCTGAGCAGAACTGTCTGAATCTGCTCTGCTGCAACACCCCAGACAGAGAATTCTTTGAACAGTAACACCAGGGGCAATAAGGAGTATCAAAACAGGAGAGCCAAAATATTTAATAAATAAACAAGAAGGCAGCCAGAGAAAAACAAAGTTAAAATGTGCTAGGGTTTAGCTTTTTCATGGTTGCTTTACAGAAGAAACAAACTTGCAAGAAACACATCCCTCTTCCATTAAGCAGCTTGCATTCTGAGTGGATTAATTAGGTTAAAACTAAATAACCAAACCAATTTTTTTTAAATTATCCTGATATAAGGAAGCAAACAATAAAAAAGGTTTTCCTCATTCTCTTACCATTCTTCTCTTGATACATAAAAGTAACTTCAAAGTTCTACGAAATCTTTTTACGCAAGACCTTCTGTTTATTCAAAAGAGTTTTGAATCAGATTCTAAATAAAAATTTAAATGCACTGAGTAAGAATACATCAGTTACTTTTCAGATGAAAAGTTAGTTGCAAAAACTGTAACATAATCATGAAAATATGCAGTGGGGGAAAAAAAACATATTCAAATGGTCACTGAATTGTTCACTGTAAAAGTACTAGATGATTATATTCCATACACAGACAAAGGCAGTTAAGAAACAGATGAGCATACTGTGTCAAATAAAGACACTGATCATTTTGTGTCTGTCACCTTGAGCTGGATAAAGTTGAAAGAAAAGGGTGAAAGTAACGATTATCTCCTGTGTTATCCAAC